CCCCGGGCTACGCTCTTCCTCGTTCTCTCCCTCTTATCGACACTTGCCCTCGCTTTCTCCTTTTGCTGGACATTGTTAACCTCTGTGCTCAGCCTCGGTATCTCCCTTTGATCAGTGCTTGTTCTTGATTTCTCCCTTTGATCCATGCTCTGCCTCGCTGGCTCCCTGAAATCAGTGCTGCTCCTCGGTTTCTCACTGCCCGGAGGAGGAGCAGACCCATTTCTCACGTTAGGCGTTTTCTCTATGGCCGTTACGAACTTCTTTAGATGCTTTATGTATTGCGGGTAAAGCTCTAAGTCACAGTGGTTCCCTCCTTTGATCCAGAGCGGCTCGTACTTCTCTTTACAGTTATCAAACAGTTGCTTCCCATGAGTCCAATCCACCACGTCATCCGAAGTTCCCTGCAGAAACCGAAGAAAAATCCTTGCATCAGCAAATGTGAATGATCAAATATGAACTCTGTTGCGTAGAACACATTAAAGAACAGGACTTTACGCACATGGATGACCAGAACCGGACATTTGACGAAGGGTATCTTATCGATATTCTGTAACACGAAAAAAGAAAATGGCGAACGGATAAAAACCCGTAAAAGTTTGTCAGAGTTTGAAAGCAGGGGAAAAACCTTGAGATTAAGAATTATAGCATATGAACAAAGGTTTCCCGAAAAACCTTGTAAATGTCAAACCAGTAAGTTCTCTTCACAGGGTACATGACTCTGAGACCAGACATGATGGGGCTGTGGAGAACAACTGCCCTCAGATTTGGTAACCGGGTCGCCAGATCTAGCGTCGGTCCGCTCCCAACGGACTGCCCGTATAATATTACATCTTGCTCCTTGACACCGTATTTCTCCTCCAGACATCTGTACACGGCTTCTATATCGCTATACGTGTTTTGCTCACTTGGCTGTTCGAGAGGAAAGAGGAAAACAGAAAGAACGTTTCGAGTCAGAAACATTACTCCTTAACCGAATAAGGAATTCAGATTATATAGAAAAATAAGTAGAAAATGTTAATTTTCTGAATTCATTACAAATGCTTAAACATTCCTTCTATGGTTTCTATGTTCAAACAATGTTCAGACCAGCCAAACGTAAGAATGCAACTGCTCATACCTTCCCGGAAGATCTGCCATACCCCGAATAATCATACCTGCAAACAAGTAAAAGCATATGTCGGATAATAGCTTCAAAGCATAAATTTCATAACTAAGTTGCAAAAGGCAAACCCGAAGATCATAATTCGGCCCACATAGACAATCATAGTTCATCAAGACGAACTTATCCGCCACAAGATCCTTCACTTTTTTACCAAAAATGGACCCAAGAGAGTTCAAAAAACGCTGTTCGATTGTGTCAGTTTGTGAGAACTAATGATCCTTATAACCGCCGAAACAAACCATTTACTTAGCATAGGGAATCATCATAATACCCAATGTGTAGACACTGATTCTCTGTCGGATTTCTATCCACTTTTGGGGTATACTTCTAACGCTAACAACATATGATTCTTCCACTTTCAATCCTACTCTGAAAATTCTGATCTCCACAAATCACCAGAAACACATCCACACAATGCTGAAGCCATTTCATCAGAACAATTCACACACTATCTCTAATGGCATCAACAAAACTAAATCTCAAAATCTATCAGAGAACAGAACATGAAACATGCTTCCATCTTCCTATGTATACTTCTATAGCATGCGGATCCTTTCAGAATGCTACCAAAACCTATCATATCAAATCACCAACTCGATAACAAAAAGGACCCACAAAAGCTGAAAATTTTGGAGGAGAGCGAGATTCAGAAAAAGGCAGAGACCCCATCAAGTTGACATGAAGATGGTGGCTGAGCTCTGAGAAGAGCTCGAACATCTGACCGAGATCGGCGGCGTTTCCATGAGAATATAGAAGTGTGAGCGAAGCTGCAGGGTTCTTAATATACGCCGCCACCACCTGATTACCTCTCTTGGTGTTCAGCCTCAGGACCTCCACGTTCTCCTTCACGTTCTCCACACCCGTCATCCTCAGCCTCCCTGTTACATCGTCCGTTTCCACTCCGTACGACGGCGGATTCGGCGGGAAAAACGCAAACTTGGCCGCCATTGATGATGTCACCGCCCCCATCCAGCTTTTTTCGCGAGGACCCTTCTGGGTTTTCGATGGATTTCTCGCCCGGAAAGTGTTTGAATTCGGAGAAAAAGCTGGAAACTTTTCGAATTAGGGTAAAGTCGGAGACTTTTTCTTCGAGAAGAAGAGTCAAAGTTTGAAACTTTTTTCTTCTTCTTCCTCTCCACCACCTCCGCTTTGATGGGAGAGGATTGGGTTTGGCGAAGGAGGTAAAAGGGTATGTTTGGGAGCAAGGAAAGAGAAGTAAAAATGGCAAAGGATTTCCTAGAGAAAACAACACATTTTCTGTTACAGAAGATGCATCGGAGGAAAAATAATAATAAACAATACGTTATGGAAAAAAATATATTCAAAGTTTTGAAATTTGATCTAGATTTGTTTGACTCAACTCAGCTTGTAATGCAATCTAGAAAGGAATAAAGAAAGACATGGAGAGCACAGATCAAGGAAGGGGGGCTGTTTGGATAGTGAGAAAACGAAGGAAACCGAAGGAAAATGGGGAGAGAGAAAGATTGTTTAGGGTTTGCAGAAAAAGCAAAAATAGCGAGTAAATGCACATTTCACGGGGGGAGGAAGAGGAAAACCCGGCGATGCGGAGGAAGAGAAGCACGTGTTTGATATTAATTTATCCCTGAAAAAAAGTTTCGAAAGATACAAAAAAACTTTAATTCTTAGACCTACCCCCTATTTATCTTCATATTCCTTATCTAGACTTATAAAATCCAATGTGATTTTACATCCCAAATATTTTTTGATTGGTAGTGATTCTCAAGGGTATGGTATTTGATCATATTAAAGAATGATATCATTATTCATATTTATTCTAACATTTTTCCTGGCAATATATCAACGCTAATATAATCTAGCATGTTTATTTATGATAAAATATATAGTAACAATTCAATGAGAATAGGAGAATGGTCACATTTTCAATTGTTTGCGACTATGATATGAGATCAGATGTTTTAAAAATACTATGTATTTATTCACCATATCGCATCGGATCATTATGGACGAAAAATAGATCTATAGTTTTTTTTATTAAAATTGATTAAATATTTAGACAATAACTTGTTTCCTATGATAACTATATCATAAATACTAAAAACTTGAAATTTTGGTATAAAAAATACAAAACCAACTATTTCTAGAACTATTATACACTCAAAAATTTATAATCGATAACTAGGATTAGATTATCTGAGTTTTTATAATTAGAAATGTAACCAGTTTCCCATTATTTAATGTTCTCCCTTAATCTTAATTTAGGGCTGAAAGAAACGCATAGGCCCTCAGCGTAAGAAAAATAAAGTGATAGGGTCATATTGAAAATATTATAAAATAGAGGATAGACACGAGGGGGAGAAAAGAGGTTTGCGCGGGGGTGACGGTGACGCGTCTCCGTAAGTTAGATACGGTGAAGACGGTGACATTAGTACACGTGTCATGTGGGGCTGCTTCGAAGATCTGTGAAAGAATAATTTTTTTTTTTTTGTCGAAGCGATTGTTTGGTTTAGATAATAACTGGCTTTTATATTGTCCTCTTGTCTCTTTTTCTTTTGTCGCCTGATAATAATATATAAAATAATTTAAAACGACAATGATTGGAATTTTTAAGGGAAAAAACATAATAGTAATTAATGATGCGGACAATCATTCAACAATGACAAATGATGTGATGCTAAATACTAAACAATAAAAGGTTAAAGGGGTTGGCTAATAATTTCATAGTTTAATTAATTAATGATTGTTCTATGTGTAATATAGAAAGTAGAAATGTCTTTTTAATTAAAAAAAAAAGTACTACAATTGTTGCCGAAATGAATTAACACCTCGTTTTATTATATTAGATTTTGTGAACTTTAGATGAGATAGAACTTTTCATATTTCAATTCTTTTATTGTTTTTCATCAAAATTTCTTTTTAAAGAAGTTCAATTATTGGATTCAATTTATTGATTTTCTTCATCTAAACCAGCTAATTAAAATATTTATACCTTCTCACCTTTTCAATTAAATTATTTTTATTTCCCATATGGCATTGAATCTTGCATATGAAACAATGTGCTTCCTTGAATAACAATTTTACATATTTCTAGAAAACTTAAACGTTACCCTTCGGATATCAACAAATACGTGATATAATCATGAGGGATCATGCATATACGCTTAATATATATATATATATATATATATATATATATATATATATATATTAAACAAGGTATATAAATATACACGCTTGTGTGTGCCCGTGTGCTCATCAATCATGAATATTCCATATCATCTCACAAAAGGAAAAGGAAAGTGATGAAGTTTTATTATTGTTTAATTCTTGTTGAGGCCAAGATTGAGCAATGATGGCTTTTAGTAATATTCGTATAGGTTAGGTAAAATTAAACTTAATAATATTTAATTATGTTTAACAGAAGTTAATGTAGGAATTTAATTTTTTTCTAATATAACTAATCACAAATAGCAGAGAAATATAATTTAAAAATAATTTTAGGAAATCATTTTGTTAATAAAAAATAATTCAATTTAAACAACTACTTAATTATATATAATCACAATTTGTAGAGTACAATCACAATTTGGTAATATAAATCCAACTTTCAAGATAGACCTAAGAGAAAAAAAACAAACAAACAAGAGAGTACCCTATGTACTTGACCGCTTACTACACATAAATAAAATTATATGAAATGGCAACATGAACAAACTTAAAAACAAATACACGTTTTATTTTCTAATTTTCAACTTCTAGGCAAATTGGAAACACTTATAACACAGAATCTGAATAAATATTTTATCCTTATAGTTATTATATTCTTTCAGATATATCCAAAAGTTTTAATAAAGTCAAAAAATAGACCCTTGCGAGTCAAACTATTTCCTTTACGATCAATTCCTTCCCATCATTTAATTAAGTACTCGAGTTCAGGTTATTTACACGAGCTGATTTATTTCTTAAAGAAATCCTTTGATAGTTTGAGATATGAAACACTTCAATATCTCACGGGATACACAGTCATCAATATATATACATATACACGAGTTGGTTATATCGCGAATTACACGTCACAATGATTAACGTTATCATTTTACCACATTACAATTTTTAAAAATAAAAAAGAATTAACTTTTTATACATACATAAACATACATAGACATTATCAAAAATACCCTTATTTTGCTAAATCGATTTCAGAACATATCATTCCAACCCATTTTTGATGTGATTAGTGTGACCATCATGATTTATTTCAAATTTACACTGATCACATTGATCATACCGTTAAAATTAAGGGCAATTGGTAAACTGTGACAAATATGTCACATCATTAGAAATCTATACATTTTTTTTCTTCCTTTGCAAACTATACTTTTTTATAATTTTTTGACAAAAATACTTTTATTTTATTATATAATTTTAATATTGTCATTTAATGTTCCGAAAAATGTGCAGCATGAAAAACATATTTTTTTGGAAACTGTGTTATCCGTGAAAACTGTTTTTTCATCTGGGACAACTATTTTTCATCCGGGAGAGTCTATTTTTCGTCCGAGAGAACTGTTTTTTGTCCGTGAGATTGTTTTTCGTCCGGGCGAGATGTTTTTCGTCCGAGGGAGTCTTTTTTTGTCCGGAAGAACTGTTTTTTGTCCGGAGAGTTTTTTTTTGTCCGGAAGAGTTTTTTTTTGTATGAGAGAACTGTTTTTTATGCGGATGAAAAATAATTTTTTCAGATAAAAAATAGTTTTTCCGGATGAAAACAAGTTATTCCAGATGAAAAACAATTGTTTCGGATGAAAAACAGTTCTCTTAGATAACACACTTTTCAAAAAAATCTGCTTTTCATACTGCATATTTTTCGAAACGCTAAATTACAATATTGAAAATAGACAATAAAGTAAAGATATTTTGTCAAAAATTTATATAAAGGTATAGTTTGCAAATGAAGGAAAAAATGTATAGATTTCCAACGACATGACATATTTGGCACACTTTGCGCAAATTTTTTCTTAAAATTATATGGGCTTTTGGAAAACTATGCTAAATATGAACATCATTAAAAATCTATACTTTTTTTTCTTTTATTTGCAAACTACATCTTTTTATAAAATTTTGACAAAAATCTTCTTACTTTATTGTATAATTTCAATATTGTTATTAAACGTTTTAAAAAAATGTGCAACATAAAAAAATATGTCTTTTGGTAAAGTGTGTTATCTCGGAAAACTATTTTTTTTTTATCCGAGACAATTATTTTTCGTCCGAAAGAATCTGTGTTCGTCCGGAAGAACTGTTTTTTAGACGAAAAAACAATTTTTTTATTCGTGAAAGCTGTTTCTCATCCGGGAGAACTATTTTTTGTTCGAAAGAACAATTTTCATCCAGAAAAGACTTGTTTTTTATCCACGAGAATTTTTTTTATCCGAAAAAGAATTCTCGTGGATAAAAGTATGTTTTCTCCAGAAGAAGTGTTTTTCATTCGGAGAACATTGTTTTTTGTCTCCGAATCATTTTTTTGTTCGAGAAAGAATCTTTGCCAGATGAAAAAAAAAATTCTCCTAGACGAAAACATATCTTTTCGGATAAAAAGAATTCTCCTAGATAAAAAAAAAGTCTTTCCCGGATGAAAACAATTATCCCGAACAAAAAATAGTTCTTCCGGACAAAAATAGATTTTTTTGAACAAAAAATAATTCTTCCAAAAAACAGTTCTTTCGAATAAAAAAATATTTTTTCGTATAAAAAAACAATTCTGGACGAAAAATAATTGTTACGGATGAAAAAATAGTTTTTTCAGATAACACATTTTCTAAAAAAATCTGATTTTTATGTTGTACATATTTTGAAAAGTCTGATTTTTATGTTGTACGTTTGTTGAAAAGTGTAATAACAATATTGAAATTATATAATAAATTAATGTTATTTTTTTCAAAAATTTATAAAAATGTATAATTTGCAAAAAAAAAATATAAATTTTTAATGACGTGACATTTGAATACTGGTGTCAATGTTTTCAAAATCATATGATGATTAGCCTAATCACACTAGTTACATCGTTAAAATTATATCACCTGTGACCATCATTGATTGAACATACTAATCACAAAAAATTAGGTTAAAAAATGTATGTTCTAAAAAATTAGGTTAAAAAATGTATGTTCTAAAATACACGTAGCAAAATAGGGGTAGTTTTGATATTATGCCCATATACACACATATGCATACATATATATATATATACATGTGAGTGTAAGTAGATATACGTACATATGTAAATGCTTTACCTGTGTTCTGCAGCCACGACAGAATGCTAATCAAAGCATCTTCACAGTGAAAAAAAAAAGATGAGAGGACCTGTTATAACATATGCCAATGAAATTGTTAGAAAACTGGAGGAAATCAACGGAAAAATGAGAATGAAATCGAACCGAGGGACCGGATATCTCTTCAAGGCGTGTAGACACTTTCCTAAAACCGTTATTCCGTCCGTTATGAGCAAGGACTACCGGAATACGATTCTGAGATACAATGAAAAGAAATACGTTCTAGAATTGCTCGTTCAAGAACGCACAGACAAGGAAACGTGAAGAAGAAGATGAATGAAAGCTTTCGGGAGAGTGTTTGCAAGAAACTTCCGAAAGTGCTCTCAAAATCTCTCAAAAATGGAATCAATCTCGTACCCAACTTATTCTGACATCTTTAGTATATAAACACCAAATATCATCACCAAAAGTTGCAAAATCTGCAGTTATTACGCGAAGAATCGCATCAGTTCGTATATAACTGTCATGTTCCGAGTTACACTTGACACAACATGAAGTACTTCTCACAGACTTTTGACTCAGATCGAGTTCCACTTGACACGGGCCGTGTCAAATTTCTGTGCAACACGAATTTTTCCTCAGACAATCAACACGGTTCGAGTTAAATCTAACACGGACCGAGTTACATTTCTGTAAAGAAAATTTCGTTTTCGTCATGAAGACTGAGTTCTACTTCACCCGAGTTGAGGTATACCTCACTCACAAACCGAACAACTTTACTGCCAAACACATATGTGTTTCACCGATCCATATTATATCATTTACGAATATTTAACTCCTCCACCATATCCGTAATACATATAACTATGAATCTCTTGAGAGATTAATATTAAACCCCATTCATTTACTCTAAAAATACCAACATAAATAAAGCTCCATCAATTAGCCAAGAACCAGATATAGGCAGGCGTGTATATCCTCCATTGACCCATCAGCTATGTCCAGAAATGGGTCTATCTCAGGAACTCTTACAGCCAAACTATGCATCTCCTGCATTACAAATAGAGAGAAACATATATTGTAGCATATTGTAGAATATTGCAGAGCCCATTGCGTACCAAAGAGCAATCAAGAACTGCTTCGCCTCTTTTTGTCCCCACTCCGACCAAAACCCACAACCCCATGTTCATCTTCAAAATTGTCACATCCTGCACATAAAAGAGAGGGAGAGAGATCCGGGAAAAAAAAAACATGTAAAGAGGTCTTACTCAGCACCAACAAATTCACTGTCAAGACCCCATCCGGACCTTATGTGAACTCAACTTCAAAGCGAGCACTTAACCCTCTCGCCAAGTCATTGGACGTTGACTATCCGATTACACGCTCCAGTTTTGCCATCAACAAGATTTGCCCGTATGCTCTACTAAACCAAGAGAAACATGTGGTAGGGAAACTGAGTTTAATGCAACCAAACATGCTGAATCCAAAGACCATGCCATGCTAACCGCCTTTTGTAAGCAAAAATCTAAGTCCAACTTAACAGAGCTTTTCTATAAGCAAATATCACCAGCTCTGGACAAAGGAAAGGCGCAAGAAAAATTCGATAACGCAATTCAGAACCCCGGACCTACCATGACAGAAACATAAAATTGAGTATCGGGTTTCTTGCTTCCCAAGCGCTTCTTGATAGCCTTGATAACACCCTTAGCCTGCCTGCTCACAAGCGTAATCACACCATGACTGCAAGCTCCATTCTAATTCTTCGGGATATCAAACACGTGATCTGCCATGAAATGAATGAAAAACAAAGACAGGAGGGCAAGATCCCTCACTTAGTTTTGTCTTCTTTACCCACAATCGGATGGAACTATATATATAAAAAAAAATGTGATGCAAATGAACCCTTCCACTAGTGTGAAGTTATTTGATAAACGTTATCCTCCTACTGTTCAAACACTTCTGAAGCTATAAACAAACCCCTTAATGTACTCACTGTACTCGGTGCAAAAAACTTGTCCTCTGAAAACTACCCGTCAATACTAAGCATCTGCAGAAAAAGTGACAATAACACTTGAAAAAGCTTAACAATTCCGTACCTTGTGGAATGCAGTTCAATACAGAGGACATGACCTCTCCACATCAACAAAATCATTTGGCTCCCCTCAAGCCAAAAGAATCTGTAAAAGATGGAAAAATGCCCACCAGATGCCAATCGCTGAACAAAAAAACTTATGAGTAATCATGTAAGCACAATTCCGTACCTTGGAATGCACAGCAGTCAGGATAACCACTTTCGGATTGTTCTCCAGATTCACAAAAAAGGTTATCAATATGGCAGAGTTTCTTGAATCGTTGGAGATCAAGAGAGAAAGAAAAGCACCCGTTACCTTCTTCCTTTGCATGTTTCGTTCCCGTCGATTGTTCCGCCGTTTGTCGCCATCGCGTCTCCGCGCATGACGACTGGAACGCCGAGCCGCTCGTCGTTCACCTGAAAAGCCCATCCCCCAGCACGGTTTTGGGTCTTTCATTGTAAGTGGGGCCCTTCCAGCGAGCGAGCCCGGAAAAGGCGAAAAAGAAATAGCAACAAAAGAGAAAGAACACTAATTGTGATGGGGAATGATGGCGCCAACTGCGACGGAGGAAGCCCTAACCGCAGATCTAAGCCTTTCACCAAGAAAAACAAGAACTGTGAAGGATGAATTCGAAGACGAAGGTTGGAGGCGGTGAGAAAGGCGATTTCATCAGAATCGCCGTTGGAGGCGAACGACAGCCGAGGGATTCAAAATCCATTTGATGTGGGTTGACTCAGAAAAAAAATCGTATATATGGAGAAAGTCGGTTGGAGAAATGTAAAAGTAGCCGTTGGATACTTTTTTTTTCTCCTTCAAATGGGCTTCGGATTGGGCCTCAATTAATAAAGCTTCTTTCCTTTGGGCCTCGGCCTACCTTTCTTTCGCAATCGCATTTTTTTAATATACTGTATTTACTATTATATATAAATTAATGGAATTATATATATATATATATATTGTCGGGAATTTGCTTTTGGCGTAGTGGTATCTTTCCCTCTAATTCACTATTTCTATTAGAATATATAACGTCAGTTATATATATTATTAAACGGTTTCCGTGGTTATTCATTAGTTTTTCGTTATCTTTTTTTATTATATTTTGTATTTGATAACATATTGGTTTGTCATACATCGAATACTTAAAAAATTCTTATTTTATATGATTCAAATTTATTTATCGTTTATAATTCGATAATTTCAAATTTTCAAGTATATCTATCGTCTAAATACGACGGAGTTGAAGAGGAACAAAGACGTCACGGAGAAGAAGAATCCTCTTTTCCAAATGGAGGGTTCTAATGTGTCGGCTTGAATATTAATATGTAAACCAAAAAAATATATTTTTTTGTTATATTTAAATATAGAGGGAGAGAGACACTTTTCTCAAGGAGAAAAAGGCGGAGGGACCAGCTCGGGTGTCACGCCCTTCATTCCTCGTGTTCTTAAAAACCCCACAACTCTTTCGTTTTAAATTAATTATAATTAATTAATCGTATTTAGTTAATTTGATTCTCTTAAATAATTGTCGATCAGTTGAGTTTAATCACTGTACGCTTTTCGTAGTTCCATGCGATGCGGTGACAGTGACACATCGACAACACGTTACCCTCTTGATCTTTCTACTTTTTCCATCTAAAAACAAACCGATTCACACACACACATATTACATATATATATATATATATATCGAAGTATTACATATATGATATATGTATGTATTTTAGCTATAAAATTTGGTATAATAAAATAATATGGTTACACACATATAGTTATACGAGTTCGGATTCTCATTTCGGGAAGAGAATCTACATGAATTTCTCCGACCTCTAAAAGATTTAATCAGGTCAAATGTTTTTAGATTATAAAAAAATATAGTTACACGTATACAGATAGATAGACAGAGAATATATATACATAATATATACATGTATCCCAATAAAATTGAAGATCTTTATTAATAGTAATTTATCCAATATTTTTGTGGGTAGATTCCATAAGGATTATAAATGAACTATTTATTTTGTTTAACACTTAAAACTGGGTATGATGAAATGTGGATAGAGGTTATAATGTTTAAATTATATTAATCTGATTCAACCTAAATATATAACTAACAAAATACCAAATGAAAATAAATAAAATTATTTTTCAAAAAGAGCAATGAAAATAAAAATCAAATAGAATTTGAAAAGAACCAAAATCTTGTATAGAACTCGAATATATATATATATATGTGTGTGTGTGTGTGTATAATTTTTCTTCAAAACAAAAGTTTATTGTTTTTTTTTTCTAAATCAATATTGTGTTGTATTTGCTAAATTAGTAGTACGATGGGTCGGTCGTCACTGCTGTAAATATTTTTTTGTTCTACAGTCATCGATTTTTGTTTTTATTTAGATAACATATATATATATATATATATATATATATATGTACGTACATTGTTATTAATTAGTTAGGTAATTATTTTGATGGTAAATACGTGATTAATATTTAGGACCATACCTTTGACTTGGACCTTTGCCGAACTGGAATTTCTTTATTCAGTCACGTGGGTGTGCATGATCTGGAATTTCTGGTCAGATACGCTATATATATAGACATATACATACACATATGTATCATAAACAAGATCAACGTCAAATACCTCGATGAAAATTAATTTAATCGTTTAATTAGAAGGTTTTATGTTCTTATCGGTATCAGTCAATTAACAAATGATGAGAATCATCAAGAGACACGGAGATTCATAGAACATATACGTGCATTACCTATCTAGAAAACTCATTATACACAAGTAAATGTGTGTACGTATGTATGTGTGTATGCATCTACCCTTTATGTTTTCAAGGAGCAGATTATAATAATTGTTTATATTGATGCATGGGAACCTAGAACTAATAATATTATTGTTGTTCTTACTAGACGACAGAAGTACTATGCCTCTTTGACTCGGGTCTTTAACCCTCCATGAGAGAAGGCCAAAAACGAAAATCTCCATTGATTTCACTAAGCTTCTTCTACCTTCTTCAAAAACAAAAAGAAAAATCGAAAGAATATGGCTCTCACGAGATTCACAAGCTTAGCTCTAGCTTTTCTCTTTGCCCTTCAAGCCCTAGATGATGTTTATGCTCACCAAGGTGACCTAGCTACACATATATAGATCCATCTTCTCTTTCGATTAATTACTCGTCGCTAATCTTTTTTTTTGTCTTTAGGGATAGATAAAAGTATAATACAACGGCTTCATTATGTTTTTTTTATTACTATTTGTTTTTTTGAAGGCGGAGATTCTAACGAAAGAAGTTCGACCAACAATGGCCGAGATACACCGGCGTTGTGGTATAAAGTATGTATCTTCAAAAGCTATATATATACAAAATCATTTAATGTTCGCAAGTTCAATTTAAAGAATAAAGTAAGTGCATTTAATTTCTAGTCTCTATTGAAATGATTTGTTTGAATCTAACATGAGCCCAAACAGGAGTTTCGTATCCATGGCGGCGGGCTTGAGAAACCGAGGTTTAAAGGAAGAAAGTTTGCGCTCGCGAGAGAGAGGAGTCAAGGGGAAGAAATCGACAGTCAGAATAGTTTGAAGATTTCAGGTGCAACGGAGAGTTTGATTACAAAACTTAAATTAGGGTTTATAAGAAGCAATACCTCGTCCAAGAACTCCAATCAATTTGTAGCTTTTCACGATGATTATCATGGACCGTCACGACATCCCTCCAAACATAACTAAACTTATATATATATATATATAAGGAAATCGAATATATAAATCAAACTGTAGCGATCTTTGGTCGTGTACGTTTTTATAGGATCATAATGTAATATGCTTCCTTAGTTTTTGGTTTAGTTTAGGAAACTCTCTCTAGTTTCTTTAATTAGTCTTTTGGGCTGTACCTTAATTTTCTTTTGTTTATATAAATAACATTTTCATCTGCTCTTTCTAACTTTAACCCAAGCTTTTGAAGATATATATACGTCGCATGATGTTTTTTTTTCATTCTAGAGTTTATTTTTGTTTTTTTTGTTTTTGGTTTTGTGGTATAACTGCAGGAGAGCATCAAAAGATCGAAAACTGGCAAGATCGTATCGGTCTCAAGGTCTGTATCATTATCTTTTTTTTGACGCATTTATATCTATCCGGCAATATATATATATATATAAAATATTTATGCATGCAATTGATTTTTATTTTTATTTTTTGAATTTGTGTTTGTACAGAACGATAATTCTAAGAAGAACGAGATGGTTGTGAGACTGTCTTTACCAAGAAGAGTCGCTTGTTCAGGTGATTCCGACAAAACTATGAAGGAGATGAAGAGAATCGCGAGATTGTTGCGTAATGATTATCCATCGCGTACTAAGGCTCGACGCAAGCCTCCGATCAATAATCGAGCTCCCAATCAGAATTAATATATATATATATATATATATATATATATATATTATAAATTTTCGATATAGATAATATATATTTAATC